TAAGTCAGACTTGCCCAATAAAGAAATTGTTTAGATTTTAGTTTGTTATCCTAGGGTCAAACATGAACACTTTCATGCACGATTTCTAATTAATTGACATTCACAATACTGCGTTCATGTAGGCTGTATAGCATTGAGGGATGTGAAACCTTTAGTTATCTATGCAGATTTACCTGCCAGGAAATATGTGGTGGTTTTCTTGGCCTTAAGTAGAGTACTTAGCATGGAGGCTGAAACTGTTTAGTTGGACTCCAAATTGTAGGCGTTCCATCACAGATTGTCTAGTGGATTTTGATAAGACAGTCAGTGGAATTTTAAGATATAGGCTTACATTGGAAGCCCACTAGTTTGATTAACTTTATATCACATGATATGTTGGTACAATGCATTATATATAATGTAAAAGTAACGTCTTTAGAAAATGGCCTTCCACGCTCTATCAAAGGCAAACAAATCATGTCTATTATGAAGAGCAGAGCTTGTTCTTTACTTGTTTTTGGGTAAAACATACATGCTGGATGGATTTTGACTTTAGCTGGAGTGCTGACAGTTGGATTGACAGTACGAGTTGATGTTGAGGTGGAACTTATAAACCTGGTGGTTATTAACCTTTAGGGGCAGGGGGTGAGCTCTATTGAAAAAATGAAGAACTTTCCTAATTATTTGTTAAAGAGCATGGAGCTAACAATGAATTTATAAAAAAAAAATGAATAACATTACTTTCACAACCTTAAAGGTTTGTTTTTTGTGCGAAAACTGGGAGGTAATCTTATCCAAAGGAAGAAACATCCTAGAGACAGTATGATGATAAAACAGTTAAACCATTAACGCTGGTATATTTTGAAGCCGAAAATAAATGATTCCGGATGGCTACATAAACAGTGGGCGGGGCTGCCCCAGACACTGCCCGCCCGCTGACTGTGGCCCACTGCTGCGTCGGAGCGCGAGCCCCGATACAGCATCTCACCGGCGGGACGCCCGGTAATGTTTAGTTTTTGGGTGTCTCATATGTGGGAAACCCGTCGTTAGTGGGTTAACTATCACAGTAAAAAAAATGTATCAGAAAAATACTAATTTCTGTAAGACAGTAATTCTCATTTGTTTTGTTTTGTAATATAAAAATTCAGAATGTATTTTGTTGTTTAAGCTATTGAAGGATCAGAGTGGGAAGTGATTTAGTGTAAGTAATTTAGTGTAAGTGATTTAGTGAAAGTTTTCACTAGCGTGTTAAGTAGCAACTGTTGTGAGTTTCTGGAGATGAAATACTGTAATTTTTTACAGTATGAATGCTCTCATCAGAGACTAAGTCCCCAATTCCATGTCACAAAATTTATTGATCAATCTAAGTTGCCACAAGGGGCATGCCCTTTGAAGAGCACTGTCTGAGGAAGGGCTGATGTGTGGCTCTGCCCCCCCAACACCCCACCAGGAAACATTATCTTCACCTTTTTATGCACGGCAAGATTGAGCTGACACTACGGAGCAGCAAGTGCGGCTTAGACTGAGAGGGGCGATCTTTTACCTTCATTTGTGGCATTTCTGATTGTGTCTGAAAATTACTTCTTGTAGCGACGACTGCATCTTTTTGTCCTAATTTAGTACATCTATACTGTAAAGATCAACCTGAAATATTACCCGTTAATTGGATTAGAAACATTTGGTAGTTGTGTACAATATAGCCTTATGAAATCCTGAACTAATGACACATGCTTTAATTTGATCATAGCTGATGAGAAAATGGAGTGTTCCATTGGCAACAGCCGTTGCTGCACCCCTCTTCACACCAGTTGTCCTCGCGGAGTCAGATAAGAAGGACACACAAGCAGCTTCTTCTCGTTTGGTTCGACCCTCAGATCTGCCCATCTATGAATCGCCGGATGAAGTCCTGGAGTAAGTAGTGAAAATTAATAAAAAATCATCGCAAGTAGAATATTCATGAGTTGAAAAGTTGAGATGCTAGCAATCCTATTTCAAGTTTGAAATTGCTCTCAAATAAGGATAGATAAGCTTAATGGTTATTTTTATGTGTTTATAATATCTATGTACATCAGGGTTTCTCAACCAGGGTGCTCACAACCCTCGGGTGGGAGATAGCATTCCAGAGGGTGTGAGAAGGGTCCATCTTGATGACAGGCAATAAAAAAAAAAACTCATAATCAAGAAACAGGAACAAGAGTGTCATTGGATTGAAATTCATTGATAAACGTTTTAAAGATAATTCTTGGATTTTTTTTATTTGTAGATGTTTCAACTAAGAGTGATTATTTTTTGTAGGGTTTATTCAAATATTAATCTGGAACATCTTTTCTTGTCCATATGTTTAATTTTTGTTTACATATTATAAGAAAATGAAATAAGACATTTTCTTTGGTTGATCATATTTAGTACAAATTCATCTCCTTAAATAAGCAAAAGATTTTTGGGGGTGTGAGGACTCACACCCTTAGGGGCAAGGGCATAAAAAAAGGTTTGGAACCACTGACTTACTTCTTTATTTGTAAGAATTGATAAACGGATTGATGAGCTTTATTTTTCAGCTTCGAATATCATGGGCGGGAGAGGACGGCCCTGGAGGAAAACATTAGCGTCGTGAGGAAGGAAGTGGAAGGTGTCATCGATGCAACACGGGCCACCAGGGAGAAAATAGTGTATGTTTGTGAGACTGGCAAAGCTCATACAATGGGTAAGTATCTTTTTTCTTCTTCTTTTCTTATTTTCTTTCTTTCTTGCATTTTTCTCTCACTCTCTCCAGAAGATATGGTCTTTACACAGTTGCTTTAACTAATTGATTTCTGCAACCTGTATGAATGCAATGCTTATTGGACCTGCCTCCCTTAATATAATTTTTGTTTATTATATGGCTGCGATATGAAAATTTGCTTAAAGATTTAGATGTATGTTTTTGTGAATCCCGTGAGTGCTTTTTAGAAAGACCATGGGAATATGTTTTTCAACCTGAGGATACACAGCATACTAGACATGTACTTGATCTAATACATACTAGTTACATAGACTATTACTAATATCAGTGCATTTGTCTCAGAAATACTTTGTGTTGTCAGTTGTATAGAACCTGTAACTTGTCCTGTGTTAAAAGATGTGTGTGTTTGTCCCATAGCCACAGTGGATATGCTGAAAGAACTTAAACCATCACCAGGTTAGTGGACGTTTTCTTTGTCTTTCCTTTTTAGACAAGTACTGGAATTCTCAGGAAGTGCACAAGAATAATTTTGTGATAATCAGAGGTTAACTTTGTCATGTACATTTATCTGTTTCCTGTATAGTGATTTATGATTAGGATAGATTGATACAGATATTGGTAATATTCACAGAGTCTGGGTTTCAAAATAATTATGCATGTAAAATAGATATTACAGTTAGTCTAAGTAGATTTCTTGTCCAAAGTTCTCATATCTGTCAGGAAAATTCATATTTGTTTCAGATGTTATTGTGGTAAGTTATAAGCTTATCTATGTTGACTTTTCATCTTCTACCAAAAGATTCCTAGTTATTAAAAAGTTCACTTTGTCTAAATTCCCTCAGTTTGAATTGGTGAATATAGCTAAATTAATATTTGGTATTAATATCTCCATTACATTAAACATGAAATATTGGGAGTTATACAAAGAATTGTATGCTAAAATTTTGATGTGATATTTGAGAGTATTATTTGAAAATCATTATAAATAGAGACAGATAGGTTAATAATAGCTAATCAAATTTTGCCATCATTTTCTTGGGAAAATTCTCAAGAGTATTTTGAATCCTATCGAAATTATTCAATGCTCACTAATTGGATTTTGCTGTTATTTCCATGGGAAAATTCTCAGGAGGTAAGAATTTTTCATGCTATCAAAATTGCTCAGTTATATCTAATCATGGACATGTTTGATATGTAGCAGTTGTGTTTTACTGAGAAATATTTTGAATACTCTATCACGTTTTATGATGTAATGCTGCTTTGATGGACCTAATTAGATGGTAAGATGATATACCCCATGTTTCTTTTTTAAGTAAAATGTTTGTGTAACTTTTGGTTTCTTTACTGTTGTAGAAGATAAATGATGTTTTGTATAAAGATCGTATATGGGTAGAAATTGCATTGTCTTGTTCGTTACAGTGATCATTAGCGCTGAAAAAAACAGTCGCTATGTTTCACTCTCTTTGTGTGTTTATTTAATCTTCAGTACCCTCTCTCACTCTAACCATAACAGGAGCCTGGTACTGGGGTTATACCTTCAGGGGTATTATCTCTTCTGTTAGATTCTTTTCTTTTTGTATTGCCTTTGTGGAGGATCTGTTGAATTTTTTCTTGCCTTTGTTGTCTGTAAATAACTTTTCTTAAGTAGTTTTGATGTGGATAGATGTAAATGTAAACTATTCTTAATTTGTAGAATGCTTTGTTGAATTTTTGTTTTATATTTTTGTTATGTTAGTTTTAGTCTTACTATTATAAGGTTGTAGGCAAGCTAGGTACTTGAAAATAGTTGTTTTTATTAGTACTTTAACCTCCTCTTTTTTACTAAAATGAATTTTTAAGTACCTTCAGGCAAAATGCCATAAAGGGGCTGAGAAAGGTATTGTTTTCATGCCTACAAGTTGTTTGCTTGTATTTTGGGATTGTTTCCCATATTACAGCCCTTATAATGCAGCCACATGGCCTTTAGATAAAAAAAAGTACAATTTAGAAACCTTTTTCTTGACCAATGGTATCACGTGATTTTTAAATGTCTGCTTTGAGCAAATAGTAGAAAGCATATTCAACTAGTTTTACTATCATTCATTTTGTAGGTCTCTACTATAGCATTAGACTCAGAAGCAACATTGTTAGCTAGCATAGGATCTGACTGCTATATGTAAACCAGTCAGTATCTCATAATAATGAATCTTGCTCAAACACAATAACTTTATCAATCATTTTACCACTCTCTGTGTCACCTACAGATGTTTCAGAAGTAAATTTGCTAGCCAGGAGCTTTCTCAAAGATATGACAGCTTAGTGTAAACCTTGTTGATGATTTTGATAGTCTATTATGTATTTGTGTTAATGAACGAGGAATACATGTGAAGATCATTCAAATTTAGGAAGAAATATGGCAGATATGTATGACAATTTAAAAACTTTTAAAGGCCATATCCCTGTTCTTTTTAATCACAGATTATTGAAAATCAGTCAGATTTACTTGATAGAACCAGGATATGTTGTTTTTGATAGGAGCTAGCACCATATAGATAGATGAAAACATTAGGCATAAAAGAAATTATAGTTTCATCACATTTGGTCTCTGTAATGTATAGGAAATTTTACAAAGTCTTGCATAATGCAGTAGGGCTTGTAAATGAATGTTTACAAGAAAAAAAATTCTTGTAGTTTGGCTGCTAGGGCTAATAGTTGTTTTAGGGTGACGTCATGATGTCACAATGGTATTGTTTATGGTCACACATAGAATAGGTAGCAAAGTGCCTAATCAACTGGAACGTTTTTAATTTTTTCATATTTTCCAGTAAACTCGCATAAACTTTTAGTGTATGCTCAACTAATATTTAGGTTCTCAGGAGGAATTATTTTGCCTGTAAATGTTACTTTGTGTATTCTTTCCCTTCATATTTACATATATACACTTTTTTGCTTTGAGGTGACTGTATTTTTTTCTTTTATTAATGGCTCAGGTGGAAATGTGTCATGAGCATGTATTTCTGCATTATCTCTAGTATGCTTATGATGATAATATCATTTGCATGTAATTGCATTTTTTCCTAAATAGGTTAGTCTTTGGCTAATAAAACATAACAATCTTAACTGAAATAAACACCCAAGTTCTGAGAATTGCTTGTAACTTATCAGAAAAATTTCCGCATCGGCAGCCACTGTTGACTACATAACAGATGAAGAGAACGTGTTGCCTCGTGCTGGAGCAATCACCGTGGGCGGCCTGACTGGTCTGGTCATCGGACGGAAAGGAGGGTTCTTGAAGAAGGTGCTCTACACCTCAGCTGGTGCACTGAGTGAGTTTGTTGCTTGTGAGGGTGTGTTCTGATTTACCCATGATGGAATATGAAGAGTGTATTGGCTATTGTTTGATATTTCCGAAAATTTTAGGTATCTCAAGTGTCAAGTCTAGAATAAGCTAACAAACAAATAGGAGCATATTTATACAAATTTATGTATGTGCAGGCGTGCTCGGTCACACTCTCACTCTCACTCTCACTCTCACTCTCAACTCTCACTCTCACTCTCACTCACACTCACACTCTCACTCTCACTCTCACTCCAACACACACACACACACACACACACACACACACACACACACACACACACACACACACACACACACACACACACACACACACACACACACACACACACACACACACACTCTCTCTCTCTCTCTCTCTCTCTCTCTCTCTCTCTCTCTCTCTCTCTCTCTCTCTCTCTCTCTCTCTCTCTCTCTCTCTCTCTCTCTCTCTCTCTCTCTCTCTCTCTCTCTCTCTCTCTCTCTCTCTCTCTCTCTCTCTCTCTCTTTTTTCCTCCATGATATGTTAGAATTAATTTTTCTATTTTTCCTATGTCTCATTTCGTAATATGTCAACAGCTGCTGCTTCTCTCTGCTACCCTCGTCATGCTTACCAACTATCTCAGAAGGTATTTGAGAATGCAAAGGACGTCGGCACTATTGGGTATAATTTTGTTGCTGGAGGTAATTTTTTTTTTATTATATATTTAGTTTTATGATTATTTATCTGTGTATTAGTATCTGTGATATCCTAACAATAGAAAAATATTTCAAATATCAAATAAAAAAAAGGATCATTTTCTAATATTATAGTATTATTTTAAGACAAGTACTAAAGCAGTTTCTGATAGTTTTAATGGCTTCAACTTTTTGTTAACATTATGAAATTTCTAGTGATATGAAAATTTATTTTTTCTTGTTTTTATAATAAATGATACATTGTTTTCACAAAATAGATTGAAACTCTTTTCCAGTAATCTTTATCTCTTTTTTTTTCCTTCATTAGTGAAACCCCAAAACAAAATTCCAAGTGCCCCAGCTGAGCCCTCCAAAGAAGAACCTCCAGCAGTCATTCCCGATGCCCCTCCAGCACCAGAAGCAGCACCTGGAACAGAACTTGAAAGTGGAGAGGTCCCGATTACCCTGTCAAGCCCCACTGTAGGAGGAAACAGAAATCAAGCGATGTAACAATGTGGGGATTTAGACTAACGGACAAAGACAGCAAAGAGCCGAGTGTCAAAGAGAGTGAGGCTCCTACCTCCAAATCTTCCATACCAGAAGGATTTGGTACAGTTTCTGAAGCCGAGGAGCCTCAAGTTGCACCCAGTTCTGAACAAGTAGAAGAGAAAAAGGAACTGGATGATGTACCCGCTATTGCTGAGACAAAAGAACCTGAAGTGGTATCGGAAGTGACGCTAGAATTAGAAAAGACAAAAGACGCTGAAGTTCTGCACATAACAGATGAACCCAAGGATACAGTAGTGGCACCTGCAGAAATAACACCTGTCTTAACAGAACCTGCGCTTGAAGTAACCCCAGCTTTAAAAGAGCCTGTGCTAGATGTAACACCTGCTGTAGGAGAACCTGACCTAGAATCTAAACCTGCTGAAACAGAGCCTGAGCTAGAAGTGAAACCTGCTGAAACAGTGGCTGAGCCAGAAGTAAAACCTGCTGAAACAGTGGCTGAGCCAGAAGTAAAAAAGCTGAGCCAGAAGTAAAACCTGCTGAAACAGTGGCTGAGCCAGAATAAAACTGAAACAGTGGCTGAGCCAGAAGCTGAAACAGTGGCTGAGCCTTGCTGAAACAGTAAAACCTGCTGAAACAGCTGAGCCAGAAGCTGAGCCAGAAAGTGGCTGAGCCAGAAGTAAACCTGCTGAAACAGTGGCTGAGCCAGAAGTAACACCTGCTGAAACAGTGGCTGAGCCAGAAGTAACACCTGCTGAAACAGTGGCTGAGCCAGAAGTAACACCTGCTGAAACAGTGGCTGTAACACCTGCTGAAACAGTGGCTGAGCCAGAAGTAACACCTGCTGAAACAGTGCTGAACCACAGTGGCTGAGCCAGAAGTAACACCTGCTGAAACAACAGAAGTGGCGCTGAGCCAGAAGTAACACCTGCTGAAACAGTGGCTGAGCCAGAAGTAAAACCTGCTGAAACAGTGGCTGAAGAAAAACCTGCTGAGTGGCCAGAAGTAAAACCTGCTGAAACAGTGGCTGAGCAGAAGTAACACCTGCTGAAACAGTGGCGGAGCCAGAAGTAAAACCTGCTGAAACAGTGGCTGAGCCAGAAGTAACACCTGCTGAAACAGTGGCTGAGCCAGAAGTAACACCTGCTGAAACAGTGGCTGAGCCAGAAGTAAAACCTGCTGAAACAGTGGCTGAGCCAGAAGTAAAACCTGCTGAAACAGTGGCTGAGCCAGAAGTAACACCTGCTGAAACAGTGGCTGAGCCAGAAGTAACACCTGCTGAAACAGTGGCTGAGCCAGAAGTAACACCTGCTGAAACAGTGGCTGAGCCAGAAGTAAAAGCTGAAGTGAAGGAGGCTGAGATGGCACCGAGTGATGATAGTATACGGAAAGTAGGTTTGGTGAATAAAATTATCCAATACTTTTCCAAGGAGAAAGAACCTATAAAGGAGATTGTAGTTGAGGGCGGAGAAAAAATTGAGGAAAAGATTGCAGAAGCAGTCAGTGAGTCAGCAGTATTTGTTGAGAAAGAAGCAGATAAAGTGATTAAAGAAGCAGAGGTAGTTGAAGAGATCAGTGAAAAGGTGGAATCTGCAGTACAGATTGTGGAAGAAGCTGCAGATGCTGCTGCCACAGCTGCTCATGATACTCCTGGTATTCCTGAATCTGTTGCAGAGAAAGCTGAAGAGACAAAGACAATAGCTGAAACAGTGGAAGAGGTCGTTGGTACGGTAGAGTTTGTTGCAGAGAAGGTTGAAGAAATAGCTGAGGAGATCAAAAAGGAAGCAGAGGTTATTGAAAGTAAAGCAGTTGAACTGATAGAGAGCAAAGAAAAGAGGGAAGAACTCATAGAAAAAGCTATTGATTATGTGACTGGTAAGATACATGAGGAACTGGAGAGTTCAGAAGTCATTAAACCAGAAGCAGCACTTGTAGAAGAACCTGTGGCAGTTGCAGAAGTTAAGGAACCTGAAGTGGCATCTGCTGAAGAAGGAAAGCAAGAAGAAGCAAGGGAGCTGGAAATGCCAGAGGGAAGTGAAATTCAAGAAAAACTTCCTGCTGTATCTGAAGAAAGAGAGGCAGTAGTGGAACCAGTTGAAGAAATGAAAGAGGATAAAATAACCACAGAGAAGAGTGCTGAAAAGATTGGCTTGGTTAATAAACTAATCCAGATCTTCTCCAGTGAGGACGAAAAACATGCTGATGAAAAGGAGCCGATACAGCCAGTGGTAAAGGAAGCTGTTCCTGAAGTTGGCGACAAAGTGGAAGAAGAAGTATCCCAAGATGTGGAAAAGGAAGCAGCAGATACTGTGAAAGAAGGGAGCATAGAGGAACCTGCAGTGGCAGCAGCCGTTGAAGTTGCACCACCTGAAATGCTTGTAACAGAAGAACAGCAGCCACAGTCAGTACCTACTTCAGAAGAAAAAGAAACAACATTGATTCATGCTGAAAAAACACAAAAAGAGAGAGTAGGTTTAGTTGATAAAATAGTGCAGTTCTTCTCCAGTGAGGAAGAAAAACCTGAGCCTGTAAAGGAGGTTGTAGAAACACTGGTAAAGGAAGCTGTTGTTGAGGGTGGAGAAAAAGTTGAGGAAATAATTGCAGAGGCTGTTAGTGATGTAGCAAAAGAAGCTGAGAAAGAAGCAGATGAAGTATTAAAGGTGACTGAAGTAGTTGAAAAGGTAAGTGAAAAGGTGGAATCAGTTGTAGATGTTATAGAGGAAGCTGCAAGTGCTGCTGCCACAGCTGCTCATGATACTCCTGGTATTCCTGAATCTGTTGCAGAGAAAGCTGAAGAGACAAAGACAATAGCTGAAACAGTGGAAGAGGTTGTTGGTACGGTAGAGTTTGTTGCAGAGAAGGTTGAAGAAATAGCAGAGGAGATTAAAAAGGAAGCAGAGGCTATTGAAAGTAAAGCAGTTGAACTGATAGAGAGCAAAGAAAAGAGGGAAGAACTCATAGAAAAAGCTATTGATTATGTGATTGGACAAACACCTGAAGAACTTAAAGAAACAGAGGCCAAAGAATCACAACCAGTAGAAGAGGAAGTAAAACAAATTGAAGAAGTAAAGGCAAAAGAAGAGGCACCAGTTGCAGAAGTGAAGGAGGCTGAAGCTGTTGCAGACAAAAGTATTGAGAAGATAGGATTGGTTGGTAAACTTATCCAGTTGTTTACTAATGAAGAGAAGACACCAGAATCAGTAGAACCAGTGGTAAAAGATGCTATAGTTGAAGGTGGTGAAAAAGTGGAGGAAAAAGTTGCAGAAGTGGTGAGTGAAGTAGCCCAAGATGTAGAGAAAGATACAGCAGATATATCTAAAGTTGCACAAGTTGTAGATGATGTTAGTACAAAGGTTGAATCAGTTGTAGAAGTTGTTGAAGAAGTTGCTGGTGCTGCTGCCACAGCTGCTCATGATACTCCTGGCATTCCTGAATCTGTTGCAGAAAAGGCTGAAGAGACAAAGACAATAGCTGAGAAGGTGGAAGACATCGTTGGCACAGTAGAGCTTGTAGCAGAGAAGGTTGAGGAAATAGCAGAGGAGATTAAAAAGGAAGCAGAGGCTATTGAAAGTAAAGCAGTTGAACTGATAGAGAGCAAAGAAAAGAGAGAAGAACTCATAGAAAAGGCTATTGATTATGTGATTGGACAAACACCTGAAGAACTTAAGGAAACAGAGGCCAAAGAATCCCAACCAACACCCTTAGAAGAGGAAGTAAAACAAGTTGAAGAAGTAAAGGCAAAAGAAGAGGCACCAGCTGCAGAAGTGAAGGAGGCTGGTGGAGCCGTTGCCGACGAAAGTATTGAGAAGATAGGATTGGTTGGTAAACTTATCCAATTGTTTAGTAATGAAGAGAAGACACCAGAGTCAATAGAACCAGTGGTAAAAGATGCTGTAGTTGAAGTAGAAAAAGTGGAGGAAAAAGTTGCAGAAGCGGTGAGTGAAGGAGCCCAGAGTGTGGAGAAAGATGCAGCAGATATATCTAATGTTGCACAGGCTGTAGATGATGTTAGTACGAAGGTTGAATCGGCAGTAGAAGCTACTGAAGAGGGAAAGGCAAAAGAAGAGGCACCAGTTGCAGAAGTGAAGGAGGCTGAAGCTGTTGCAGATGAAAGTATTGAGAAGATAGGATTGGTTGGTAAACTTTTCCAATTGTTCACTAATGAAGAGAAGACACCAGAGTCAGTAGAACCAGTGGTAAAAGATGCTATAGTTGAAGGTGAGGAAAAAGTTGCAGAAGTGGTGAGTGAAGTAGCCCAGAGTGTGGAGAAAGATGCAGCAGATATATCTAATGTTGCACAGGCTGTAGATGATGTTAGTACGAAGGTTGAATCGGCAGTAGAAGCTGTTGAAGAAGTAAAGGTGAAAGAAGAGGCACCAGCTGCAGAAGTGAAGGAGGTTGAAGCTGTTGCAGATGAAAGTATTGAGAAGACAGGATTGGTTGGTAAACTTATCCAGTTGTTTACTAATGAAGAGAAGACACCAGAGTCAGTAGAACCAGTGGTAAAAGATGCTGTAGTTGAAGGTGGAGAAAAGGTGGAGGAAAAAGCTGCAGAAGTGGTGAGTGAAGTAGCCCAAGATGTAGAGAAAGATACAGCAGATATACCTAAAGAAGCAGAAGATATAGTTGATGTTAGTACAAAGGTTGAATCGGCAGTAGAAGCTGTTGAAGAAGTAAAGGTGAAAGAAGAGGCACCAGCTGCAGGAGTGAAGGAGGCTGAAGCTGTTGCGGATAAAAGTATTGAGAAGATAGGATTGGTTGGTAAAGTTATCCAGTTCTTCTCAAGTGAGGAAGAAAAGTCTGGAAAAGATGTAGGAATTAAAGATGAATTGGCAGAAACAGTTGAGAAAGCAGCAGATGAAGTAATTGCTGCAACTGGAGTAGTTGAAGAGATTAGTAAAAAGGTGGAATCAGCTGTAGATGTTGTAGAAGAAGCTGCAGGTGCTGCTGCCACAGCTGCTCATGATACACCGGGTATTCCTGAATCTGTTGCAGAGAAGGCTGAAGAGGCAAAGGAAATAGCTGAGAAGGTGAAAGAGGTCATTGCCACTGTGGAATCTGTTGCAGAAAAGGTTGAGGAAGTAGCAGAAGAAACTAAAAAGGAAGCAGAGATCATAGAAGTTAAGGCTGACACATCTCAGGCAGAATCTGGTTTGATAGGTCAGCTGGTTAGCATCTTCTCTAAAAAAGAAACTAAAGAAGATGTCTCACCTGTTCCTGAAGCTGCAGTAGAGTCACAGGAACCAGATACAGGTGTTAAGCTTGAAGTAACGGAAAAGTCAGATTCAGAAGGAGCCAAGGATACTTCCATTGACATTGTAAATATTGATGAAACCGTTTCTACCTCATTGAAACCTTCAGAAACCATTGATGATTCTACGCCTGTGGTTGATGAGCACTTGTCATCTGAATCGGCAAAGAAAGAAACTTTAGTGGAGAAAATTGCAAGTTTGTTTGGTGAGAAAAAAAACGACAGTAAGCAGACTGCTGGTGTTACTTCAGATAGTAGTAAGGAAATTCATGCATCTGACTCTCCAACAGAGGCTGTTCCAGAACCGGTAGCAGTTGGTGATTCCTCACCCGAAGGAGCGACATCAGTGTCAGGACCTTCTGATGAGTCCCAGGTACAGTCCCCCTCTGTTAGAATAAGCCAGGGTACAGTTCAAGGGGTGGAAGGTAGCATTTCAGGTTTGTCAACACCAGAAGTTCTTCATGCACCAAGAGAAGATTCGCCATCTTTTAGTGAGAAAACAACAGAACCAGTTTTGGAAGTGAAGGACAAAGGTCTCTTCGATCGCCTGGCAGAATTGATAAGTAGCGATGAAAAGCAGAACATTGTGGCCTCTTCTGGTGCTGTTTCTCAGCAACCAATAGAAGAAGCACACCAACAACCATTGCCTGAAAAAACTGAGAGTGAAGTTTCTGGTTCGGATAAAGCTGCTACAGAGGAAAAAAAGCCTTCATTCCTGAATAAGATTACAACAATGCTGAAAAGTAAAGGTTCTCCTGAAATTACCAGTACTGAAAAAGAATCAACTCAGGGTAGTGAAAACTCAAAAGAAAATGCTAGAGATGATGATGTATTTGTTGTAGTAGGGAAACCAAGCCATCCAGTTGATGTTGACTCCGCAGAGAGCTCCCAGCAAAGCAAGACTCCAGAGAGCTCCCCTCAGCGAGGCTGGTTAAGGGTAAAGTTAGAGCCTCATGTCTAAGTGCCTGTTGTAACCAATAGAGATGCTGCTGCTCTCTTATACTAAGCTTCAGGTTGCTGGAATGGGTCTCTTTCCCATTATTACTTCCATGTTGTTTCCTTGTCCAGGTCTTCTTTGTTTGTGAGTGAGATTAGCAGCTTCTGCTGTAGTTCTCACTTTGTATTTCATTCAGTTACTTTTGACTCCATTGAAGGACTTTATTGTGTAAGAAGTAATGTTTCCATCTTCAATTTTGCGTTCCATACATATCTAGATAATGATTTGCATGATTTTCAATGCAGAAATGTTGACTAGTATTTACTAATTTTCCCTCTTAATGAATCCCTCAATATTACACTCGGGTAACTTAATACCCTGTAGGATTTTTTTTTATAACCAGCCTAATATAATCCAAATGCAGTACAATCTTATCATTGAATTCTAAAGTATTATATATATATATATATATATATATATATATATATATATATATATATATATATATATATATATATATATATATATATATATATATATATATATATTGCCTCATTTTCTTTGTAACATTTGTACATGTTATTAAGGTTGTACTGTATATATTTGACACTGAGACTAGCTGTGTGTTTCAACTGTGAGTTATGCCTCTTTTGGGATGGTTGAATATACATTTTGTTTTGGTATTTAATATATTTGATATTGTTTTTCCCTCATAAACTATTAGATGATTAAATGGAAATGACGTATTAACCTATTTCTTGGTCAATGGCTCTCTAGGAATATGATTCATTTTGTCTTTTTCTTTTTCTTCCCAAAATATGTTTATGAAAAAATTTGGTTTCCCTTATTAGGCTTTTATGGAATCTTTAAACTCCATTTTACATGATGCACCTTGTAGGAAATGGGTATAGAGTTAATCATTATTTGTCTGCAGGTCGTCATGACTGTTTTACAAAGTCCAAACCTTATCACTTGGAGCCTTGTGTTTTTTACATTAACGACTAAGTAATGACATTATTTAACTTCTAACAAGATCAGTAACAGAAAATGATCTATTAACCAACAGAAGATCGAGGAGTAACTGATAGCCTTTGTGAGTAGGTTTATATTAGTCACAAAAAGAGAGTAATATGATGAATATGCTTATTAGCTCATTGAAAATCATGCACAGCACTAGCAGCAGCCAATTAGTGGGTAGAAATATCAGCACTCCTCAGAATCAGTCTGGGTTATCATTTCACAATCTTAGAAATGTTTTTTTTTTTTTTACATAACAAGAATTGATGTGATTTACGGCAGATAGAAGTCAAAGACTAATTTGTGGGAGAGGAGAACTGCTTGTATTATGCTTAGTGAATATGATGTAATATAGGTTTACCTGTTCAGTTGTAATGGTTGCTGTTTGATGTGAAACTGTTCTGATTGCCTAGATTTGCTGTTAGGAACATACATTTGTGAAAATATTATCTTTTCATCTTCAAAATCTATATGTGGATATGAGACTTTTATTAAGAGAAAAGATTTTCATAAACAATTAATTATATATATTTCCATCTGTCTGATCTAATGCTTCTTTTTAAATAAGTCTTACTGTGGCATTGTGTACAAGCAGGGCTCTGTAATTGAATGGATATGTTTAGCGTGTCAAAATATATTTGCCTGTAGATACTACACTTTAAATATATCTTGGGTTCATACTTTTTATCAACTCTTTTAGCTTAGTGAACTTGTAGGCACTTGGGTATTTGCATTATCCAGAGCTTATATGTAGGATACTATTGTTGTCAAAATTGTAAGCATAGATGAATATGGGTAATGTTTTATATGAAATTATTGTGGGTTGATTTGAGGCATTTCAAAATTGTCTTGTCCTACTAATGATTCTTAATATTAATTCATACTAATGTGTGTTGTGTATCCTGTTCATTAATCTCTTAAAAAGTAATTGTCATGGCTTACCACTAACTCCAATATATCAGAATTTTTTAGATACAAAAACTGCTAAAGTTTGTCACTACAGTTGTTTGTTCATGAGCATACCCATTTGGATTCTGGCTTCTATTCACCTGAATACTGGCTTGAATCGCTGATATATTAACTTCGTATCGCTTTTGCATTTCTTGTGTTAGGGATAATTGCAGCATTGTTATTTGTACACATGTTAACTGTTGTTTCTCTCTTCAATAGACCGGAGCTGAGGTGAAGCAAGAAGGCAAGGACGTCATCGTTCAGCTGACACCAACTCCTGTAGAAAAGGATTATGGGCAGAGTAACCCCGAAGATGCTGACATGTACACCACTAGGAGCTAGATAAAGAGCGCTGCTATAATGGGGTGGATGGGATGGAGTCAATGCGTGCTGCCCAGTGAAGATCTGCGTCTTGAAAGATAACTATAGTAGGGTATATGCAAAGGGAAACGTGCTATTGTTAGGAATCTTTGTAAGAGTAAGGGCTTATAATTACTATAATCATAATTAAATATTTGTATTATATATTAGCTTTTGAGAAGAAATGTATGGGCAATTTAGTATTTGGTTTTCAAATCTTTACTATTAGGCAATTTATATATCCACTGAGATTTAATTGGGAATTTGAGAAATGACTTTGTGCTCATAAGATTTATGTGCTTATATCTTTAATAATCTTCATTGCAAACAAGCAGTATGTTTAGAGGGCAATTTAAGCTAAGGAAACTGACTTTTTCTCTGTAATCTCACTGTTCATTTGACAAAGCTTGATATGAATTTTAAACCACAACGTAACATGGGTCAGCCCTATTATTAATTTACTTGTATTCTTTAAATAATTCACTTTAATCATAAGAAGAATATAAGGTCAGAAATGATGGGTAGGTGACATGCAGCTCCTTGGGAAATGATGTTTGTGTATATACCTTTTCTCAATAAAGAATATTGGATGTATATTTAAAATGTGAATTTTATTATTGACCCTGTTATGTGAAAGTGGTATAAAAGCTTCACAAAATGTTGGTGTTACTATTCTAATGCTTTATCATTTTATTTTTCCTTAAAACAAAGCAACAAATAGCATTTAATTATGAAATCTAGCCATTCCCATTGCCATTAAACTAGAAAAAGTGAAACACCTCTACAAAAGCAAATTCCTTCAGACGACATACTGAGAATTTTGATATGATTAATATCCTCACAGCAGATGGTGTACATCACAGTTATCAGGTTAAGGATTTATCTTCAGTATTGAAAAAATCACTATGGATATTATAATTCTAAACCAGTTGGTGATAGCATGATCCGTGGAAATACTATTGATTTGAACGATATCTTATGAAAGAACTGGTTTCAAAAGCATGTTTGGTTTGTTCTATTGGTTGCATATTTTCATCTTAAGAATCTCGGACTAATAACGAATTGGACAGAGGAGGAGGAGGAAAGAAGAAGAAGGTTGAAAGTTATGATAGAGAGAGACAGACTACAGCTGATGAGTCAAGTGAAATCCAAATACAATTTAAGAAAAGCTTGTTACATTGATGAACTCGTGTTCAAAGGGAATGTTACCAGATACTAACAAATAATGTAGCAGCTGTAGTTACTTTCAAAGGGCTGCCTCAAGCAAATCATGCTTCGTCATATTTGGGATTTCTTTAAGGAAAATCAACAACTATAGAATAGTTTATTGCTAGCTCATTCCAAATCATCTATTATGGCTGAAGTCACACTCGATGGTCGTTGAAGTCATCCCATTAGAGCCCCATTCACGGAAACCTGATGAGGTAGCAGTGGTCGGAAGGTGAAGCAGATTCTAAAGGGGGGAAAAGGAAACAAAAACCATTATTACTCCTACCTTTGTCAATAATGTTAAACAATTTTGGTGACAGCATTATTAATATGGATGATAATGTTCATGAGAAGAGAAGTAATAATGTTAGATAATACAATGAAAAGAGTGGTTTTATAGATAGCTTAACTGATAACATGGAATGAAATTGAACATCGACAGGTACACATGCAAGACGATTTTTGAAAGTTGAAGGTGATGACGATAACGATAACGAATCTCTTGTGCAGCTGGTCTGACAACAGCACATGGCTAGGAAGAGGTGCACACTTCCATTACAAGAAATGAAAAATAAGAGGTCTCCTAGAGTATGGAGTGGCTTTGAGTATGCTGTAAAGCGGGGCACTGTGTTCTCCCCGCCATAACTTATATTTGATAAGATTATGTGTAGGGTGTCTGCGCTAGGTCGACCATTGCCGCCTTTTCTTTTTTCTTTCCGTTTTAATTTCAGAATACTAGAAGATTACTTAGGGATGTTACACAGCAACGTAGGTTTGTTTTGATTTGGTGCCAATTGAGGAGACAAAATCCCACTCCCCCCCAAAAAGATACAGTAAAGTTGATAAAAATTTGTAAACCTCATTAAAAAGGTTGTCCGTTTCTATCATCTCTCTGCGCTCTTCAGCTTAACGATTTTTCCAATTCCTTCTTGGGTTAATTTGCCCTAATTTATAACCTTTAAAAATCCCTTACCTTAGACAACAACGATTTTTGGTATCAATAGATTCCTCTCACTCCCAACTGTCCAAATATATACAAATTATTGCCCGGACGCCACCCCCCAGCGACCTTCCCACAGATGGTTGCCGTACCTCAGCCGCGGCAATGATACACTCAAGAATCACCCAAGTATTCACGGCACGAGAGAGCGTACGACCGACATGCGAGAGCGACCCACGGCAAGCCTACCCCAAGGTCTTCTTTTATAGACATTGGTGGTCTGTCCAACGCTCTCTTAAGTCGCGAATACGTGGAGGATTCTTTGTAATTCATCGTTGGGGTTGAGAGGTATAATCCCCGTGTTTGGTCGCAGAGGATACAGCCCCCTGTACTAGACAATACAGTGTACATTATTCATATTCTGTTCCAAAATTTCCTTGGTACATTATTCATATTCTGTTCCACAATTTCCTTGGTACCTTTCATACCCTGGCCTGCTTAGATTGTCGCTAAGGGGGGGGAGGGGTCCGCACAATAATATCCATATATTTGGATAGCAGAGAGTGTGAGGAATCCGTCGATACCAAAATCGTTGCGATCCGTTATGCGGAACTTTAGTGTAACTTTACCCTTCCCTGTCCACAATCTAAAAGATTTTGCTTGGTGTATTTTCCCTCTCAAATTACCATTTATGCTGTATCCAGTTCCTCCAAGCTATCTTCAATAGAGTAAAAACACGAAGACTTTAGCATACTTATCACTTCGCATTTCATCATAGATAAAAAGGAAAAAAATCACCAAATGGAATAGTACAGTTAACGTGCCTTTCCAACCGGTGGTCAAACCCTTAGACCTGTTGTTTCTTCTGCGTCTCCCTAACCGACCGCCATCCGGTGACCTATACTTAGCCAGCCCTCAGGTCTCCACGCAGGACAAATGACCTACACTTGACCTTGCTCTCCTCCCTCACTGCTGCACCTGTGTGACCTGACAATTTTCCTTCAACAAAGTCTTTTCCCGTTTCTGTGGATGTAAGGTCATTCTCTTACTGCTTGGCTAAACTTTTACTTTCTGATAGATGTCGAGGAAGTTGACCAAACACTAGACTTTTGTTTCGGAACGGACAGCAATAACAAGTATGATAATAGTCATGGCAATTGTGATGTTGATAATCATGACAATTTATATTATAGGGGTAACAAAAGAACCTAACCAAAAGAGAGAGCGGGAGGGAGGGAGGGAGGGAGGGAGGGAGGAGGAGGAGGAGGAAGGAAGAAGGAAGGAAGGAAGGAAGGGAGGGAGGGAGGGAGGAGGGAGGAGGGAGGGAGAGAGAGAGAAGAGAGAGAGAGAGAGAGAGAGAGAGAGAAGAGAGAGAGAGAGAGAGAGAGAGAGAGAGAGAGAGAGAGAGAGAGAGAGAGAGAGAGAGAGAGAGAGAGACAGAGAGAGAGAGAGAGAGAGAGAGAGAGAGAGAGAGAGAGAGAGAGAGAGAGAGAGAGAGAGAGAGAGAGAGAGAGAGAGAGAGAGACAGACAGACAGAAACAGAGAGACAGAGAGATAGGGAGACAGAGACAGACAAATAAGACTGAGAGAGAAAATCGAGAAGAAATAAGAAATACCTACAATCCATCTCCGCATTGCACTGAGAAACAGTACCACCACGACGACGGCTAAACCACGAGATAAAAAGATAAAACAACAAAAAACAAACGGCAAAGAGCATCATATCAAGATAAAATAAATCGCTTTCCACTCCTTTCTTATTTTCTATTACGTTTACTATCTATTCCCATCCCACGTAGCCTCTTGTTCGAGAAGATAACGGACAGAAAAAGAGAAGTTGGATGCCTGGGTGCTTAGAGATAATAATAGGCAGCGGGACAAGACGGAGCTGAAGACATGAGCTCGAAAACTTGAGAAACATTAGCAAAAAGAAGATTAATACAGTGTAGGAAAATTGTAGAGTGAGGAGGGAATGTTCTTTGTCCTGCAGCGGGATGGTGTATGAACGATGATGATGATGATGATGATGACGTAAGCGACGACGACGATGATGACGTAACGACGATGAGATGATGACGTGACGACATGACGAGCGACGACGTAAGCGACGACGATGATGATGACGTAAGCGACGACGACGATGATGACGTAAGCGACGACGACAATGATGACGTAAGCGAGACGACGTATGATGACGTAAGCGACGATGATGATGATGACGTAAGCGACGACGATGATGATGACGTGATGATGATGACGTAAGCGACGATGATGATGATGACGTGACGATGATGAACGTAAGCGACGCGATGATGATGACGTGACGACGATGATGATGATGATGATGACGTAAGCGACGATGATGATGATGATGACGTAAGCGACGACGACGATGATGACGTAAGCGACGACGATGATGATGACGTAAGACGACGACGACGATAATAATAATGACGACGACGACGACAACGGCGACGAAGATGATGATAATGATGTTGATGATGGTGACGATAGCGATGACGATTACGATGATGACGATAATGATGACGAAGATGAAGATGACGATAAATGCCATCCCAACTCCCAACAACGGATTCATCTCAAGCAACGGATCAATATGAAAAACACGACAGCCATCCCTGACGCCATGACATGACAGACAGATCAAGCTCACGTGACACTCTAGGACCGGCAATGACAAAAAAAAAATATCTAGGATGCTGCAATTGCTTCATGAAACATAGCGATGAAAAAAATGAGCTAATAGAGAGATAGAAGGGAGGGAGGGAGAAGGACGAGAGGGAGAGGGAAGGAGGGAAGGAGGGAGGGAGGGAGGGAGGGAAGGAAGAAAAGGAGAGGGAAGGGAGGGGGAGGAAGGGAGGGAGGAAGGAGGAGAAGGGAGGAGGGAGGGAAGGAGGAGGAAAGAGAGGAGAAGAGGGAGGGAGGGAGGAAGGAAGAGAGTGAGGAGAGGGAGGGAGGGAAGGAGAAAGAGAGGGAGGGAAGAAGGAAGAGAGGGAGGAGGGAGGGAGGGAAGGAGGAAGAGTCGGAGGGAGGAGGGAAGGACTAAGAGAGGGAGGGATTTACATACAAATGAGTAATGGGCAATTGAAAGGGCAGTGTGTGCGTGAGGGAGGGAGGAGGAAGAGTCGGAGGAGGGAGGGAAAGACTAAGAGAGGGAGGAGATTTACATAAAATGAGTGATTGGCATCCGTTTCAAAAAACTAATAATTTCGCAAGAAAAATTATGTAATTGTAAAATGTGTGCGTATCCCGATCATTTCGCAATTAATTTTGTAATATATCATCCACAAATATCTAATTTTTGTAAAAGAGAAAAAAAAATATAAACATTACACGTAAGGCATATGCACACACATGTGCACACACACGCAACACAGACATACAATACACACACACTCGCCACGAACACAACCACACGAACACACTCGCACGCACACATAACACACAATCCACACACACACACACACACGCACACACGCAAACCACACACACACACACACCACACACACACACACACACACACACACACAACACACGCACACACACACACAACACACACACTTCACACCACACACACAGAGGACGGAGGGAAGAGAGATAGGGAGGGAGGGAGGGAGGGAGGAGGAGGGAGGAGGGAGGAGGAGGGAGGGAGGGAAGAAGGAGGGAGGGGGAGAGAGAGAAATCGAGGAAAGAGAGAGAGAGAGAGAGAGAGAGAGGAGAGAGAGAGGAGGGAGAGAGAGAGAGAGAGAGAGAGAGAGAGAGAGAGAGAGAGAGAGAGAGAGAGAGAGAGAGAAGAGAGAGAGGAGGAGGAAAGAGAGACAGAGGTTCAAAATACCCACACACTTCTCCTGAACATGTTAAATAATGTCACTAGTTCATTCTACAAATACACGAGAAGCCACACAAGGAAACCAGAACACAACCTTTCAAGAATTTGCAGACGATACGTCACACAAATAATAATAATAATTATAATAATAATAATTATTATTATTATAACAATAATAATAATAACGGTGACAATAATAATGATGATGATGATGATGATGATAACAACAGCAATAATAATAGTGATGATGATGATGATGATAACAACAACAACAATAATAGTGATGATGATGATGATAATAATAATAAAAGATAATAATAACAATAATAATGATCATCATAATTTGCGACCTTTATCCCTGTAGTATCGACGTAGATCTCACCTTGCAGGTTGAATGCCAGTTCGGTCAGACACGAATTTGGTCAATTCTTCCGCTGGCTTTTGGGTTTTCTCTGAGGAATCTAGTCCAATGGCTAACACGTGAATCTCACACACTGGGTCCCAGCTTCCACCTCGGCACATCTGCTGCCCAGCCACTACAGTCACTGAAATACGCTATGCAAAAAAGGGATATGTTGAAAAAGATGGGTATTATTTTATTCAAATAGCGGCTTGTTTTAATTTTGTTTAAATCGTCTTTATGTCTCTGTGTTGGAGTGATAATGTGAAAGGAGGTATTATGAGCTGTGTTGTTTTAATAGTATCGGCTGCTCTACAGATGTGGCCATTTTTTGAGTGATTAAAAAAAAAAAACAATCCAACTTACTTCTATGGGTTTCCCTAAAGTTTCTGCTAACTTTTCCGAAAACTTCTCCGAAAAGGCTTTGTCCACTTTTTCAGAAGACAGATTGGTAGTCAGGGTTACGAAAGGCATATTAGAAAGATCCTTTTAAAAAATACTATCACTTGATGTTACTACAACTACTGCTGCGTGGACGGGATTTATCAGCTGACTAAAAGGGAGAATGAGCATCCACTTGGCACCCAGAGCTACTATGACGTAACTAAGGGCGACGCCACACCCCTGCTGTCGGCCAATCACAGCGGCGGTGGGCGGTCGGCAGTGCATGGTACATTGTGCTTTGCGTGTACGATGCCTTGGGTCTTATAGGGGATTCTGGTGTTATGCTCTTTGCGTGTAGGTAATTACATTCATCCTCTGCTGCTTTTTCTGGGCAATGCACCCTTAAGAGATCGAAATGTTATATCATTACTGATTTTTTTTAGCATTCTTGATTGTCAAGGCCACTTTTAAGTATCTGCGCCGAGACCAGCTTCTGAATAGTTTCTGGGACTTGGGTGACCCTAATTGTATAAATGAAGATATTACTTTGTAGCACAAATGTGATGAAACTGCAGACTTCAAATACATCACCAATGAGTTTTAACAAAGCCTAGATATTAAAAGAAAACCGTAGATAATCCAAATTCATATACTCAATAGATAAGAAAACCGACTTCACGGTAGTTATCCTTATCAGTAACAACGAAATAGCACGTCATAACATAGAAGTCCAGAATCCGAAGCCAGCGGACAGCGAAACGAACGCGGTCCCAATCAGCTGTTCCCAAGCGACACGCCACGACCGGAGGCTACGTGCAGAGGGCTATTTTCAATGCACCACCACGCTCCTCCTTCCTAGTGACAGGTGATATCCCAGACGCCATACAGCCACATGAAATGCCATTAAAGACGGCCAAGAGTCTGCTACGCCAAGAACTAAAGGCGAAACTCAATGCCATGAGTCCGGATGAGAGGACCCGCCAGTCACAGATCGTGCAGACGAAGGTCCTCCAGCACGACCTGTACAAGGAGAGCAAGAGGCTCTCCATTTTCTTGAGTATGCACGATGAGATAAACACGGACCTTATCCTGCACGATGCTTTGAGTTTTGGGAAGGCTGTTTATATCCCCAGGTAAATATGGTGGTGTAGTTTTAGTGGTGTAATGAATACTTTTGATATTCTTTTTTCCCCCAGGAGTTCACAGTGCATGGATTTGGTAGACTGATTCGTTGACGATTTGTTGTGCAGTTTTGAACTTATTTGATTAAAAAATTATGATTGTATAATATTAAATCATATAATTGTAAAATTGTCATATATGTATTTTCGTTTTTTATAGAGCATTTTGGAAGTCAAAAGAATCATATATTGTAAAAAAAAAAAAAAACATTTGTTTGTTATTCTTCTTATAAGAGAGACTGCTTTGAGCATTGCTGAAATTAAATTTTCAATTTTTTATAGGAATATAAATGTAAAATGTAAAATACAAAACAAAGTTTTACATAAGGAAAGAGACTTTGAAGAAAATCTATATATCAAACAAATCTAAGTTTTATACATTACAATTTTTTCAGATATGATAGTAAGTCGACCTACATGGACATGGTTCGACTCAGATCCTGGGAGGAATATGACGCTCTGCCAATGACTAAATGGAAGATCAAGCAGCCTCCTTTGGACCAAGATCGGGAAAAAGCTCTGGATTCAGGGGGCCTTGATCTGATTCTTGTGCCTGGTTTGGCGTTCTCCAAGGCAGGGCATAGGTAATTTTTTTTCCCTAACAGAGAATGTGAAAATAACTGTTGCAAGTATACAAGCGCTTAGGTAAATTTTCTTTCCTAACAGAATAAATTTGAAAATAATTATGTCGAAAGTATACCAGTTCTGGGTTTGTATATAACAGTGAATGGAATGGTATAAAAATAATTGTAGCATTATTGATAATAGAACACTTGCTGTGATATTGCAAAATGTTCTTATTTGATAGACAAGATTTTAAAGGTTATTCCCAACTTGCAAAGTTTCTTGTTGCAGGATGGGTCGTGGACGAGGATATTATGACACATATCTTGCAAGAAGCCGAGTTATGCAAGAGCATCCTCCAAACACAATTGCATTGGCTTTTGTTGAGCAAGTGCTTCCTCAAATACCCGTTGAAGAAACAGATGTTCCAATTGATATTATTCTTAGTGCTGAGTAATAGTGTTAATGTGCTTGTATATTCACAAGTGAATATATATAGATATGTGTGTATGCACATATTATGTTTGCATATACTTTTGTAAGGAATCTTTTCTATACTACTGTATAGTGGTTGTTCTACAAATCATGTTTAGGTTCTGATTTTACTCTTAATTTGATCTCCAGTAGACCAGGATTTATATTGGGACATGATGCTCGGAGTTGTACGGTTGTATTAAAAAATATATATTTTTTAGGTGTATGGGAGTGTGTATGTGCCCATGTGAATGTACATGCATTACACAATACATATGCCTTTACTAGGTATTAATGATTAGGTATGAAAAGATCTTTCTTAAGATATTTATTCATATATATGTAATTTTTTTTTTTGAGTGACAATTTCTAAATTTATATTCTGATTTTACGGCATAAACAGGAATTCATAAGTTCAAATGAAAAAGTGAAGTTTGCTGTGGAAAAGGAATAAACACTTACAAAACATGTTAGGTAAAATAGTTTTCTAAATGGTTATCTTTTTAAAAATATTTACAGCAAATGTTACACATTTCTAATTCTGTTCCTTTGAAATTAGCTATATAGCCATCTGATGTAGTTATTAATTTCCTCAAAAGGTTTATCACAAATTCTTTCTCCATTTCATATTGATTTGTTTATATTTTGATATAAATTTTGTATAGAATACAAATTGCCCATATCAACTAGTTGCATATAGATGTTGGTATATGCATGCAAGAGTAAAATCATTACTATTTATTTCCCTCATTAAAAAAAGTTAAGAGATTGAGGGGGAGCAACTACCTATGGAATGTATAAGGAAAATGCATCTGTAGGGGAATGAGAAACATGGATTTTTGCTTGTATGCATTGTTGATTTTATGTATGGGTGCCTCATAAACCGTTCTCCTATATTTGTTAAGTAATTTGGGTCTTTCATATCTTGTGCCTTTGTTATTGTGTTTTCTTATTTTTTTGTATGCTTAAGACCTTCAGAATTCATGGAAAACTTTTATATGGGATTGTTGGTCCATAAATCTTATTTTTAAAAGGTGTGTTTTAGGTCTGTCCTGACAATTACCATGTAATTCTTGTATTGCCCCTGCATACACCAAAGAAGCACATGGCAGCTGTAGATTCAAAGAAAGATGGTTAAAAGCTTGGAATTTTTTATTTGGTTGATAAGAATTTAGTGTTTAATTCTTGATAAAGGGTTTGGTGATTTCACATAAGTAGCAGTTCCTTTAAGAATCAGAACATCACCCAATCTATGTTCACAGTCAATACCTGAATATATGTACATTGTCAATAGTAGAACATAAAACAGATACTCAAAATACTTAAGTCTGAGGCTCAACCCACAACATAATGCAAAATGATATCTTAATTGTTAGAGTGAACTGCAGACATCTGTGAGGAGGGCACAGAGTTTAGCTTTCTCTGAGCTTAGTAGTCATTGCAAGGGTCAGTTACCGTGATGTATAGTGTCATATGCAAGATACAGTTTTTTCATATCACCAGTAGACCAGTACTGAAGGCTGAAGCTTATAGTAGATGGTTTCGCTACCCCCTAGAGATGGTGACTATTATTGTAACCTGGCCCGTTATAAGTGAAACCAAGGTCTATATAAGGTCTATTAGGTATTAGGTCTTCTCAGTCTTGAGAGGGTAACCACCTCGACTGCTTTCACCGTTTCAGTTCATTTGTATTGAGACATTTGATTATCCGGATGTATAGAGAAGGCATTCCTTGACCCATCAGAGGTTAAATATCAGATACTCCCCACTAGCCCTTTGTCGCTCGCTCTGCCCCTCCCCCTCCATCCCAAGATGTTCCTACACCCTCCCCTATACCTGCATACTTCCCCACTTCCACTTCTACATGCTATCTTCCCCAGTCAAATTCTTTTGCCACTCTAAATCCAGACACTCCAATCTCAACTACAGCCCCAAACACTGTCCCTCTCCCTCCCCGCACTACCCGTAGCAGACAGACTAAACGTTCCACCCCTTTTTCCACCTACCTTTGCCTTTACTCCTCAGACACCAGTCTCCTCTCCCCCCACACAAGAAAACCTTTGTCAAAACTCTCCAACCAACTCCACTGCAGAACTATGGAAATATTCAAAGCTATATGCTTGAGGCACGTAAAATTCCCAACTGTACTTCCCCTCAATCGCTACTCGGAACCCTACCATATCCATTTCCCCAACTAGCCATAGCTGCCTACAGGCACTCTGCGGCACCGGCTCTAACAAAAACGTACTACTCATATTCCCCCCACAACTTCCTCCTACTCCCTCCATCTCCTCAGCTCTAACAAAACGTACATTAATCCATCCCCTCTATCCCTTCCACTCCCTCCGGATACTCACGTGAACCCTTAGGTCACAACTATGCCCTTCCCCAGATCCTCCACCTCCTGATACCCCTCTTGATACAACACCAACCCCACACCCTCCAATTCCTTATATCACCCCTAGCTCCTTCCCCTTCAAGTTCCCCAACACGTACTGTATACGTTATCGCCCATAAATCAAAATATAGTTCGTCATATCCTTTCTTCTTATAATCCATCCATTATTTACTTTATGCTTTGACAACTTGTTCTCCTTCCTCAGACGCTTACATATCCTTCACTTTATCTAATTCCCCTAACTAAACCACCAGAACCATTCACTCATTAACTCCTTTACCCATCTTTAACCTTTCAATATTACTCTAGATAGCTGACGCATAGCAACTATCACCTATCACCACCCTTTACTATACCTTCCTATAGTGCTATATGACCTTAT